AAGAATGAGACCAAAAGTCGGCAGTGCCCCTCCCCCTTAATTGAAGGTGTTCCGCCGCTACTGGGCAGAAGAACAAAGGTAAGGGCGGATAGCGGTGAGTCATGATGTGGGCCCTTTTATCGGTCTTGAATTCAAGTTAATCTGCGTTGGCAAAGGGTGGCTTTCGCGCTCGCAGCCGGGCTGAGTTCACCAATCAAGTCCCAGCTTATTACGCCTTAGGCAGATGTGCAGTTGGCTGCTGCTGATGTCCAGCTGCTGGCAGACCAGCTTCAGGCTCATTGCCGCCATGCACAAGCATGCTTCTTTAATACAAAAGGAAGGAGTGTGCTCCTTTTTCTCCATTGCCTTAGACGAAAACTATCAAATGAACCTGTCGGTGACTCGACTAATTACTCAGAGCAAGAACATCTGGCAAAGGTAGGTCTTTGCTGAGTTGAGAGCCGATACCGGAGGCACTTATAGTTACACTATACAGCCAGACGCCAGTATTCCCGCTTCTAACATCAGAAAAGAAACTGTGCGAACAGATATGGCGAAGTTGTCCGGATAATTTCGTTACACCCTAAATAGTAAATACTCTTGCGTGACATTGACTTTCGGGCTGCCTTAGAATTGGATCGTATCTTTACCCACGAATAGGGGACTGATAGGCTTTAAGCTACTTCAAAACATGTGCAAAGACTGCTTTGCAGTCGTCGAAACTTGTACGGACATTCCGTACAAGTTTTCGGGTCTTCTAAAACTTGTACGGACACTGTCCGTAGTGTCCGTAGTGGTGGCGACGCCCATGCCTGGAGCTGGCTATATTCTCAGCGCTCCAATTCATCCCCAGTAAACATGCCGACGTCGGCCCGACGTCGGCCGACGTCGGGGTGACGTCGGCAACTCGGCATCGGCATGCCGACGTCGGTCCGACGTCGGTCCAACCTCGGCACGACGTCGGCTGGATGTCGGATATGCCCGCATGTTCCGACGTCCAGCCGAGGTCCAGCCGACGTCGGGCCGACGTCGGACCGAGATCAATTGCTGACTGTCCAGCCGACGTCGGGCCGACGTCGGGGCGACGTCGGACCGACATCGGCCGCTGTTTTGACCGTTAAAATAATATAAAATACATGTTTCATGTTTCATAAAGAGCTTCTGTATTCAAAATATCATCAGGAAACTCAAATCTTCCTCCAAGCCGCAACCCCCTGATCCGAACTGGACGGGAAACTTTATCCCATTTGGGATTGCCCGTAAGCCGAGCTCGCCCGTAGCCGGGTGCGGTGAGTGCTTGGGGGCTGCTCGGCCTATCCTTTGGTCAGGCTCAGCCCCGGCAACTCACCAGGGCCGGGCCCAGTTCATATAGAAAGGCCAGTCGGCAAGTGTCACTTTGCCAAAGTGCCACTTATCAAAGGGACACTTTGGGAAACGTTGGTGCAGGTGTGTAAGAGTGGCTCCATTGTGGGGTCGCCCTTTCCAATAAGTGTCACGTAACAGCAATGGGACCAGGGACTCTATATGAACTGGACCCAGGGTACTCGCCAAGAAGACCAATGTCTCCATCCTATCATCCTTCTGGCTCTGAAATGGTCTTGTCAGACCGAAAGGGCATAACCCGAACCCAACAAAACAAACTAAGTTCCCTAGCTGGCTGCGTGGTGTAGTGGTTAGCGCACTAACCTCGCGTTCAAATGACACGGGGTTCGAATCCCATCGCCGGCTGATGCTTTTGGCGTGTTGTCCCAGTAAACATGCCGACGTCGGCGACTGGGGGGCTCGAATCCCGCCGCCGGTTGATATTTTTGGCGCGTTGTCCCAATAAACATGCCGAAGTCGGCCCCGTCGGTCCAACGACAAACTATCTCGTCAACCTCGTCAACCTCGGCAAACGACCTCGGCCCGACGTCGGCTCGACGTCGGCTGAACTTCGGCTGGACGTCGGAACATGCGGGCATATCCGACGTCCAGCCCATGTCGGGCCGAGGTTGAACCGACGTTGGGCCGACGTCGGGCCGAGCCTCGGCCCGACGTCGGGCCGACGTCGGCATGTTTACTGGGTCAGCGCTTCATCACGTGATTACAGCGCCGTCAGCGACGCGCTGATCCTTGCAATCGTCTCCCGGAGGGGGCGAGGAGGAGGATAATCAGCTAAACGGTTCAAGATAATTACGTGCGCGGTGCGGCATCAAAATATCATAGATAATTGAAATGGCTAGAGGTGCAGTTAACTAATAGTTCAGTCGATGACAGATAAGACCACAACTAGCTCTATGATTGGACCCTACTGTTGATGCCTGGCGACGTGCGCTCGAGTATAGAGTGAAGTGTAGGTATGAATCCCTAGCAGCCTACGACGGAAGGGTACAGTATCGAAAATCTCACAGCCATTTGTCTTGGCTGAAGGTCCTGTGGACATAAAGCATTTCTGATTAGGATAAAGATACTTAACAGCAGAACATTGGACTGGTGATCGTGTCTCAGCCAGCCCGCACGCCACTAAGCGCTAAGTTATTACGCCGAAACAGTGTTGTACTGAAACTTCTCTCTATGCTAGACAGTGCAACATAATAACGTGTAATTTTCAAAATATTATAACAAATTTATGTAGCAAGACGTGCTGTAACCTACATTGCATTCACTGAACGATAAGGCTAGAGCGAGCCCTTTGTTTTCACACTATTTTTTTGTGTCTGGTGTCGTGCGCAATAGGGTGCAGGGTAAAACTCAGTAGCAGCTTACGTTTTATCGGCACTGCCTGACATTAGATCGGTATAGATTCGATTGCCCTACACACCCTTTATTTCATATTAGGTGTCATATTAGGTGACCAAAAACCAAACACGTTCATTTACCATCGGCAAAGTCGGCAAAGCCCATTGGCGGTGATAGGCAAATTTCAGTTCCGAAACAAACCATGCTTTCGATTGGTTTGATTGAAAAATCACTCTAATTGGAGTGATTTTTTCTGCTAATTGGAATTATTATTATTATTATTATTATTTATTCAGCATCGTCATGCGACAAAAAGATACATACCCCCCCCCCCACCCACCCACACACACAGTTAATCAGCACTCAGGAGGTTAGTAGTCTTAACAGGCGCCGCGAGCCGCGAGGCCTGACAGTTGCTTGCCAAAACCATCTTCAAACTGTCTATAAGACTGCTTTCTTGGAGTGGTGCCCGGACTATGTCGTGATCGACGTACCCAGCAGCGATGTGCATGATAGCGCCGAAATTCCCACCACACAGATTATACACGTGGCCAATAAACGACCCATCCAACTGCTCGGGGTACGTAGCAAGTCTGGCCAGTCCAGTGACGTAGGCTTGGCGAAGACGGTGGTCAGCGCGGAAAGCATTACGGAATGCGCGGAGGGCATCACCTCGCAGCACCTCACCGATGCGAGGCACCCCAGCAGCAATCAAAAGAGCCGTATGGTGCGCAGAACGCGGCAGACCCAGCGCTGCCTTGATCAGCGAAGCCTGTCGCGAGTCTAGACGCTCAATGTCGGCGAAACTGAGGGGAGCCGTCTCACAGCCGAAGATCAGTGCCGGCAGCACTACTGTCTTCCAGAGGAAGATTTTGTCAGCAGCAGTCAGGCGGTTGGTGAAATTGCCCAGGGGTGTGAGGCCATAGAATGATGCACAAGCACGCCTGATGCGCTGAGCCACGTGGCTGTCTGTGCTGAGGTTGTCATCAAGCACCGTACCGAGGTGCTCAGTCGTCTGCCGGATCTGCAGCTGCTGTCCTGACAGTGTCCACCTCGGTGTGCTCGTGAATAGTTCCTGTCCAAATATAATACAATGGCTCTTGGTTTTTTCCCGGTTCAGGGTGAACGAAGTCGAGGCGCCAAGTAGCCGCGAATTCTCCCACCATCTGCAGCATTGCACCGAGGTCACGCGCGTTCGCAGATATAAGCGCATTCGAAACAGAAACAGATATAAGCGTTCGCGCCGCGGGAAAGCGCATTCGATAGCCCTTTTACAGACATTTCTGAGTAATGTTCTCCGATTTGACTTCAGGACCCCGCTTCACCGCCCGACGCTGTGCGCGCTGCAGCGCGCCGCGAGCTAAGGCATACCTACCCCTGACGTCAGTCGAATGACGTTGCTTGCGATCGGTTAGCTTATGATGAATCGCGTTTGGAACAGAGGTCCTAAAGGAGCAAGTACAAAGAGAACAGAGTTTGATGCGCATTTAACACATTCCTCATTCCTCATTCCTCGCAATGCCACATTCCTCGCAATGAGAACACTTTCATTACTTTGACATTGACATAGTGGGGACTGGGGAGGTCACGTGACTGGCCTGACCCCAGGTGACCCGAGCGAAAAAATCGAGACATGCAATATGTGATTTGCCGGAGGCTTATCACTGTTAAAAAGTTTCAAATTCTTCAGAAATATGGCCTTCATTGGCCGATTTGTGAAGTTGCGCCATTTTAAGACCGTGCAGAGGTTTACTTATGACATCAAAAGTCACTGACCTGACGTGACCTGAAAATGATTTAGGTGTCAAAAGTTGCGGTTTGAATCGAAGGTCAGTGAGGCCAAGCTTCAGTTCTACCGCAAACGCCTCCGGTACAATCGTGGAAAACAGTCAGGGGGTTCATCGAAAACCGTCAAAACCCCCTCGGCCGGTAAGGTCTGATCCCTATCACTAAAAACCTATGGAACAACCTATTATAAAATGGAGCAAATATCACACAAACGCGTTTCGATTTGAACAGTCGTCATCAGCGTGGAAACAAAGAGCATTGTTTGTTTTCTATGCTGATGCAACGAGTGTTTAGTCATAGTAGTCATAGTCATAGTCAGGTTTATTAAGAGCTCCATAAAACATGGCTTTTCTGCCCTCTCGTCAATACAAGTTGTAAAAAAGACGAACACATAAACTATCTAAAAATATGTCCTAAAATAGCGCTCATCAAACGTGTACACGAGTCACAGACGATTCATGCACCCAGCATTCCAAACAGACACGGCTCTGTACGGAAAAGTACGTTTTCCACGCTCGGTCCTTGCTCTAGGGAGCTCCAATTGACCAGCGCACACACCGCGAGTGGCCCTGACTGACACCTCAGAGCGACTGCGCACTAGATCGAAACGTGTTCGTGCGATATCTGTTCCATTTTGTTAAAGCGCGCTGCATTTGTAACCTGGAAGCGCGATTTTATGTGATTTTCGTCTCAAGCCTTCAAAATACCTACGAATGTACTTTGTAAACTTGTTTTGCACACCAGAAGTCAAAATCTTTGTCAAAACCTCGCACTTGTTTATTGAACACGAGTTGAGATAAGCAGTCGGCGCCTCCAGAGCTGTAGAATTAACGGCGACAACACGGCACAAAAACAAATACCATGGTGTCTTGTGATTCATTGTAGTTATCACGTTCACTACAATACACCAGAGCACTAGCAAGTGTAACATCATCTCAAATCATATCTGTCTGCCACGACACGGCGCCGGCATTGTTATAATAATGCTTCAAACACGCCCTCTGCTCCTTGGCTTCCAGCGTTGCCTGGCTTGGCCCGGTCGCGCTCCGCACGTCCTCTAGTGCGCCTTCATTTCTCCAGGTTCCAGGAACGACCTGATGATTGTCCTCTTCTCTATCCAGTGCCATGTTCTGGAGAGTCGGATATCTCGTTCTCATCAAATTGTGTAGGCAAATGCAAGCCAAAACCAAGGTTTTCACAGTCTCTGGCTCCTGCTGCAGTGTGGTCAGGAGGCAGCGGAACCTATTTGCAAGTATTCCGAATGCGTTCTCGACAGTGCGTCTAGCCCGAGACAATCTGTAATTGAATATTCTTTCGGCGTCTGTCAAGTTGCGACCGGAGAAGGGTTTCATCAGCCACCTCCGTAGTGGAAAGGCATCATCGCCAATCAAGAAGTATGAGATCGCCCGGTCATCTCCCGGAAGCACTTCAGCAGGTGGGAGTCGAATCGTGTCGTTCTCTAGTGCTTCTTTCAAATCAGAGTTGTTGAACACTGCGCAGTCCGAGGTTGACCCGTTGGCGCCGACATCTACCCACATAAACTTGTACTCGGCGTCAACAAGTCCCAGCAGGATGATTGAGAAGAATCCTTTGTAATTGTAATACGTGGATCCTGAGTTCTTGGGAGCCTTGATTGCTATGTGATTGCCATCCAAAGCACCTACAGCATGACTGAAATTCCACTTTGAGGCGAACTGCTCACTCACCTTGCGCCAGTCATTCTCTGTCGCAGGCATAGACACCATTTCATCGCCATACTCATCCACGATGGCGCTGCAAACTTCGCCCACAAACTTAGAGATGGTGTTGTGCGGCACTCTAAAAGCATAGCTGAGGCTGCGGTAGCTGTCGCCACTAGCCAAGAATCTGAGAGTGATTGCCAGCTTCAGACCGGGCCGCAACGCTCTCCTGAACCTGGTGTCTTGCTTCGTCAGTCTTGGAGTCAGCCTCTCCAGCAGTTCATGGAACATGGCTGGTTCCATCCTCATGTAGTTTTTGAAATCTCCATGTGATTCACGCTCCAGTTCTGCCATCAGATTTTCATAGTTCCCAAATTGAGGTCTTCGAGCAATCCAGGGTCTGACCCAAAAGTGCCGCTGTCTCTTCGTTCGGTAGCGTACGAGAACAGCTAAAGCCGCAGAATATTCAGCTTGCTGCTGTAGCAGCAGCCTAAGCACCCGGAGCTGTGTTTCTGAAGCCATGACATGACTCACTCTGAACGACTGACCTCAGAATTCAGAAACGAGAATTTTATATCAAGCACACTCACCAGTCGCCAATTACCAATCGTGCGGCAATCGGCGATAGGTCTTGAACAGATCTTCACTCGTCGGCGGCCAGTCGTTACCTACCGCACGACGTACTCACGACTGTCACCGAGTTTCGCATGTCGTTCGTGCGACTCATGTCCCAATTTTTTCTTGGTTCGGCAAACTCCGTACGATGGTCTGCCACCTCTTGTGTGATTAGTCGTACGATGATTGCCGACCCTTTATATATGTGACCGCAATTACGACGGGTCTGCAGCATTCGGTGATGGTCGGCGGTGGTCGGCAATGATTTAGGTCGTGGGCGGTCGTCTAGTGGTCGCATCGCCTAGTGGGACCGGGGCTTTGGAGAATATCGTCAGCGTAGCAGATAGCGGGTACGTGCTGGCTGTGTAGATATGCTCCACGACCGCTGCGATCTAGGACCTCAATAAGAGGTAAGAGGAAGATGTTTGCAAGGGTTGGCGATAAGATGGCCCCTTGTCTGGTGCCCCTGCAGACCAGGGGCCGTATTCACGTCGATCGTTTTCGTAAGAATTTTCTTACGCACGACCTACTTCTTACGAAAATTTGGTATTCACGTCGACAGCAAAAATATCTAAGGAATAAAAAAATTGTCGTAGACAGTTTGCGATTCACGTCGACCTTTTCTTAAGAATTCTCGTAAGAATTTCGTAAGTGCGATTCACGTCGTGTCATCTTAAGAATTTCTTAAGTTTTTCGTAAGAACATAATGCTAACGGTATGGTGAAGTTACGAATACTCACCGAGCTGTCGTAAACTGATGCAACGATAAATCAGTGAAGTAGGCTAAAGCCCTTGTTACACTGCCGAATTTTGGTACACGAATGTGCACGAATATGCAAGTCATCCTATGTCGCGGACCGATTCGGGATCTTTCTTCCACGGTCTTGGCATTTCGCAGACCAGTCGGTGCCCACCGCGCGACTTTTACGGTTCGTCACGACCGCCACGAATATTTCATGAAAAATGAAAATTTCGTGGCCGTTCGCCGAACTTATAATAAACGAACGTGATCGCCAAACACTCGCCGAGTCACCGCCGACATGTCGCTACGTGCGCCGACTTGTTGCCAAGGTATCGCCGACTATTCGCAACAGATTCGCCATTCATTCGCGATGTTCGCCGAATCATGGATCAGCTTCGACCCGCGCACGATTAGGGGGGCCCCCACCCGTTATCTGCAAATCGGGCTCTGTCGGCGAACTGTCCGCCTCTGTCCGTGAACTGTTCGCCGATTTCCTACACGACGTGATTCGGCGACAGGGTCGTGGCCAAAATTCGGCAGTGTAACACGGCCTTAAGACGGAAATGACGAATTATTTTAAGAATTGACACTAACGGTTGTCTGGACTAGGAATGGCTGTTATTATTGAGCTAAATTATTACCAGCGAGCGAGCGAAGCGAAGTCTTTTCAATAATACGGGAAAATATAAGTATGAGCGGCCCGGCTCGGCCTGTAATGCTTTTGAGAGTCCTATATCTTAACAACCGCTGGACCGATTGACCTGTGGGCTGTGATCTTTTTTTTTTTTGGCTGCCCCATCAATTCTAACCCGCAATTTACTATCTTGATGCATCTAATTGACCATCGTGGCACGTGCCACGTTAAAAGTCAAAGGTATTCAAGCTGTTTTTGCAGAAGTAGCGCTTTTGAGACTAGGCTTAGGTATACCTCAACAACCACTGCACTGGGGCGATTGACTTGCTATAATTCTTGTAGGGTAGCTATAGCGTTTCTACCAAACATCGGGTACTCCTGATACGGTTCGTCGGAAGGTCATTTCATGCTCAAAAGGAACGAAATATACCATTCAAAAGCTGATGGTGATTGTAATTTTTATCAAACCGTTCATTTGCCTTTTTCAAAAATTGCATTTTTGTAAAACCGTTATAATTTTTTTATTTTACTGGCTGTCTCGGGCATTCTTGAAATCATGGACATGTTTTTATGTCCCAGTAAAGCTGAACGCTAAAAAAACAATATGTAGCGAAAATAGTTACGAGCGAGCGAGCGCAGCGAGCGAAGCGAGTCTTTTCAATATAACGGAAAAATCTCAGTATGAGCGGCCCGGCCCGGCCCGGCCTGTAACGCTTTTGAGAGGCTTATATCTCAGCAACCGCTGGACCGATTGGCCTGCGGTCTTTTTTTGTTGGGTAGCCCCATCCCTTCTACCCCGTAATTGACTACTTTTGATACATCTCAATGACCATCGTGGCACGTGCCACGTGAAAAGTCAAGGGTGTTCAAGCTGTTTTGCAAAAGTAGTGATTTTGAGAGGCCCATATCTCAGCAACCGCTTGGGCGATTGTCTTGCGGTAATTTTTGTAGGGTAGCTGCATCCCTTCTTCCAAAGGTCGGATACTCTTGATCTATGTGAGTGACCCCCACTGCACGTGCAAAATGCAAAAAGAAGAGGTGCCAAATTTGTTCCCATTTCAATAACTCGGTAATTACTGGGGCGATTTCGCTGAAACTTGGCATACAGGTAGGCACCCACCAGGCAATGCATTCCCATGTGTTGCGTTTGGGGTGCTACTGCACGTGCGCACGTGCAGGGGGCGCTCCCAGATCTCGAGAACGGCTGGGCCGATTGTGCTCAAATTTTGGTACACGGTTGGGGACCAGTTAGTAGGGTGCCGTGCAAAAGTCAGTTTGGACCACGTTTGCACGTGCGCACGTGCAGAATGCCGCTTCCAGATCTCAGGAACGGCTGGGCCGATTGCGTTCAAATTTGGCACACCGCTAGAGACCGGTAAGAAGGGTGCTTTGCACAAGCCGTTGGAAGTACCCTCTCGCCCTTGCGCACGTGCAGGGCTCACTATCTCGCTCACTAGTTCTTCGCCAAAAAGGCGTTTTACTGGTCTTAAGTAACCCGCGCCCTGGTGGGGTCTGTTTATAACGCGACCTGGTGGGGGGGGGGGCTATTTTTTGCCCTCCCTCGTATCTCCGAAACTACTGGACGGATCCGCAAAATTCAAACGGCGTTCGAAAGGCCTGTCAAATTTGTCGAGGGAAACCAAATTTCATTGACCTCAGGGTCACCGATGACGTCACAGGTCAGGTCAAAGATGAAATGTTTCACCGTTCACGGGTCTTCTAGGGAATGCGCTATAACACCGAGGAAAACGCATTTTGTCGAGAATCAGCGATAGGGCGTCAGTTGCCCAGTAGATATGTTGCTACTAGAGGTCACTGACAATACCAGGTCAGGTCACAGGTCAGGTCACCAAGGGTCACAGGTCAGGTCACATGAGCCCAACTTTACAAAGGTTGTGTGATGCATGTTTTATGGCCAATTTTTCATTTCCAACTCAATGGTGCTGGTTACAAGACTGTCAGGTACGGCTTAGGTCACTTTCTGGTGAAGTTCAGGTCAAGGTCAGGTCAAGGTCAGGCCAAAAAAGGTCAAATTTTAAAGTTGATAGTTTTGCATAAAATGAGTATTGATTCGATGCAGCTCGTCACGGGGAGTCTAATGGTGGTCTTTGTTTTGCGCTACGGGGTCTAGAATTGCTAAAAATTGAGTTTGAAAATTTGACGTCATCAATTTTGAACAGTTTTTTCGCTATAACTTCGCCAAAAAAAGAGGTATCAATCTCAAATTCGGTATGTGGATGGAAGGCGGTAAGGACTATCACATTTATTCCGTTTTTTGTGAAATTCAAAAAACTTTTTGGATTTTTCGATTATTATATCCAAAAAAATATTTTTTGATTTTTGGAGCTGAAAATCCAAAAAAAATAAAAATCCGAGATAGCAGTTTTGTAGCACTGTCGATTCTACAGCTTTTATGTCTTTATCATTTTTCAGTAGTTGCAAAGCTATAGGCCTGACAGCTCTTCCCGCGAAACCCTTTTTTGGGTCGAAAACGGCAGAACATGACGTCACTCTGACGTCATTTCCGGCCAACCTATCATAGCCTTTGGAAAAATTTTTGGTCACAATGTGTAAAATTGATGTCCGGGAGGGTACTGAAAGTTTAGAGACGATCGGCGCAGCGGTTCTGGAGATATCTCGAAAAGTCTGGAGGGGGGGGGGCAAAAAATAGCCCCCCCCACCAGGTCGCGGGTTAAATATCTGTTTCCCACAGCCAACAAAAAGCGTGTCGGGTCGCGGCCGGCCGGCCGCGGACCATTTTCAGAAGTGGCTGGCAGACCGTGCGTCGAGTACTTGCTTACTCGCGCGGCGGTACTGGGGTTCACAAGCATTGTTTAAAAATCTTTTCATTTGCCATGAACTTCAAATTATACACTGTAATTAACGATCATTTGTCAATTATTACAAGTTCTTCAAAATTCTTCTTTGAATCAAAATTCTTCTTTGAAAGCAAATGATTTCATTTCACTCAAGAATTGTCTTGTCCACCACTACAACCGCCACCCAGCCGCCATCCATTGGAAGAGATAGGCTCTGCGGCACAAAGCGTCGTTTTAAACTAACTGGGAACCAATGTGTGATGACACTTCAAGCTAAATTTATGCTCATTATGTACCTAGAAGCATTGGGAACAACGTTCTGACTGTACATTTTTATATTTTTGCCTCTAAATGGAAATATTTACAGTCAAGTACTAAGTACTTTGGAGCCCACCCTCAACTCAGCGGGAATCTACACCCTTTGCCCGGCTACATTCCGTCTTGTGACTTGCGTCGCAATGCCTGCTTGCATGACAAGCGTCCAGTCGTATCGTCCCCAAAAAATGAGTGAGTAGGGCACCCCAGTAAAAGCGAGACTTCTTGCCAGAAGTAGAAAGTCCACCGCAGAAGTGAGCATCTCCAACAGAACTTGGGATAGTCAAGCATGGACGGGCGCCCCAGCAGTGGAGGGGCGCCTCCCAGATGGGGCGCATCAAGCAGACGTTGGGCTCACCCAGTAGAAGAAGAGTAGCGCCCCCCCCCCCACCCCACATAATAGAGGCGCATTTTGGAACATTTGGAAGCATTGGCGGATCCAGAAAGGTGGTTTTGGACGCTGCGGGGCGCATGCCCCTCAAAAAGTTTCTTTCCGAATTCCAAAAACGTGTAGGATTTCGAATCCTTACGCACTAGGATGCAGTTTCAAACAAACTTTTCCTTATATTTTTTGTATTATTCTCGAAAAAAACGCGAATACTCGTCAATTTGAGACGCCGTGCGGAGGGGAGGAGGCATTTACATATTTGCCCCTAATGCCCCCGGATCCGCCAGGGTTTGGAAGTCCCCTCGCACTTCTGTAAAGTGCATGTGTGGGTCTCACTCTCGCGCTGGC